TTATGTTTTAATATTTTTTTTTTTTTTTTTTTGGAAAATGTGGTTATAATTGGAAAAAGTTTTGGATTTACATGCAAAATATTTTATTGTTTAAATGTGTGGTTGAAAATGAGTACGAGAAATAAATCATTTTGTTTTAAAGGAAGTCAAACAGGGGCTAAGGATCAAATGCAACTATACAAATTAAATAAATATTTAAGGTACCTGTACGACAACCACGTAGTACTTGGAATTGTTACGATCCCTACAATCAGTTACATTCGCTGGGGCTTGAGTATTTACCTATGTAAAACAAATGACTTTCAATCAAGAAAAAAAATCTCGGATTGAAGATCAAATAAGTTATGTAATAAAGGAATAATAAATTTGGATGCAAGCACTGGAATAAAATATTCCTTTTTGTGTTCAGAATGTTTATGATTTTATCTCTCATTGCTCCAAAATCATTATGGGCCAAAATGAGCCAAAGGAAAGACCTAGAAAACCGCACAAGTTAAATTCAGCATCTGAGCTATGATGAATAGGTTAAATCACATCAGCATAATAGTTTTATCACATATGTAGTGCTACTTTAACCTAAACGAAGAATCTACAGTTTGTAAATAAAAATCTAAGTGGCATATGATGTTTCACATCCAAATTAAATTGTCAAAAACTCATAATCCATAATAGGATAGTGGGAAAAGTAGAATTCTATTGAAAGAAGATTATTCTCTATGAACAACTCAGAGGCAATTGAAATTCGTTGTAAAATTTGTATACAATGTTTATGTCAAGTCAAGCTAGGGGCACTTGCTCTATATAGCCCTGGTTTCATATCTAAGTCCCATTAATATCCTCCAGTTTCAAGGTCTCAAGGATGGTGAGTACATTAGAAAGAACTTTACATAGATTTGATCACAATTGGTGTTCCAAACGTACATCACCAAATTCCTCCATTTCTAATCCCTTCATTGATATTAAAGTCAGTTTCTTTTTAATTGTTTTCTATATCATATGTCATTTAAGGAGTATATTATTCCTTTTCTTATGATTCATAATAAAAAGAGTTGAGAAGTAATGTCATCTTTTATATTACGAAAGTCTTTTGATAAACTCCTTTAGAAATTGAATGATTTTCATTAAGATTTTAAAAATAAAAAGTAATTTGAGTAATAAAATTTGTAATAAAAACAAGATATTTTGGTTATATTTTTGACTAGTAGAAAAGAATTAATCAATATGCTAGATTGTATTGAACTCTGAATGGAACTCCGAACGCTTTTCTTGCTAATCTTTGCTTCTCTCTTCTTGCTGCTCGTCTAAATCTCGGAGGCTATTAACCGTTAATGGGAGACAACCCTTGTGAAGGTAGGATTGGTTCGCACGCATTGTAAAAATGTTTCATGGTGAGATGTCATTCAAACTAGTGGTCCATTACCCGAGGAGAAGATACAATTTATATGCGGCATATTGAGGACCGAACGCACCGACTTGCCCAAGCTCATCGCATCCCACCGAGAGTGGTAACAGAAATTGCACCCATAGAAGTTGAGACAAACTCATAGGAAGATCCCAAGGAGGAATCCGAGGAAGACCTTATTGCGAGTGTAGGCCAAAATTTCTAGCAGAAGTTAGGGATCTTTTAGGTCTTGCCTTGTTATTTGAATTATGAATATCGCTATGATTGGCAAATTGTATCCCAACTACTATTGATCATCTATTTCTTAATTTAATAAAAGTATATTCTATTTTTGAGTTTAATGGATGTTCAATGAGTGTTAATCAAATTCTTATTCTCTTTTACAAAGTGAAGTGATGGCAGCAAGAGCTAGGAATGCTAGGACCTGCAACAACAACAGCACCAGCAGATACCAATTCCCAGACAAGTCCTTGCTATGATGGAAGAAATGGGCCAAGCTACAACGTTGCCCTCTGGAGAGAGGGGAAACAATTATGCAACAGTGGTAGAGCAATTTCCTAAGTTACAACCACGACCTATGAAGGTGGTACAACCCCAAAACTAGCAGGAGAGTGGATCAGAAACGTAGAGAGGATCTTTGAACTTATTGCCTGCCCTGAGCCACAATAAGTGACTGGAACATTCATGCTCAAAAATTGTATCAGGCATTGGTGGGAAATGACTAAAAGGTCCAAAGCACCTGGATCAAGGCTGAACATGGCACAGTTCAAGGAATTATTCCTTCAAACTTCCCTACCAACAGACATAACCATAAGAAGGAAAAGCTCATAAACTGAAGCAGGGCTCCATGACATTAGCAGAATAGGAAAGGAAATATGAGGAATTGCTTGCTTTGCCTACTCCTAGACAACACTGAGGACAGGAGGCTTGAACAGGCCTGCGTGACGACCTTAGATACGTAGTTGTGACCTCTGAGTCAGGAAGCTACCACGAAGTACTAGCAAATGCCCCAACTAGCAAACTTCCATGAAAACACAATTAGTATTGACAAGTTGCATGCTAGACAGCCTGATAAATGCAAATGAGAGAATAACAAACCTAATAGCAAGCAGAATTTCGACTAACAGGCACTTCCAACGAAAGTTAGCAAAAATACTTTAATTCTACCAATGTAGGGTGATAATTATACAAGGTATATTAAACATGGATGACAAATCAGATAAGGATGCTAACGTGGAAGGCATGCCATTAGACCCCACAAGTCTAATTAAAACAAATCCTCAAACTCGACCAGGGACTCAGACGTCTAACTGAACTCTTTCTTATAGACCAGACTCAATGGAATATCATGATCAAGTCAACCATTAGCCTCTTCAACCCATGGACGAACAGCCCCCATGGTAACCCCTCTACAAAACGGAAGTAGTGGTTACATGAGAACGTACCACCATCAGCTATATGACCCCCCTATGATATGGTGCCCAACTTACAAGCATGCATGTCAGCACTGCTAGTAAATATTATGTCAATTACACTTACCAACATTAAACTTCCCACATATAAAATTTCTTCTAATTGCATCCTCGAAGTCCAAGAGGTTAGGCACCACACTAGTGTCTAACTATAATCAGGCAAACAGTCCATGTTATCAGGATTAGATTCTGACATCTTCAAGGACTTCAACCATTATTCTGTTCAAGACTGCACTATCCAGACAAGATACGTTTAACTAACTTAAGACCTCTCCTATTGAAGTCCTCAAAGATTTGTTTCCTCTTTAAAGTTAGGAACTTTATTCATCAAAAAGTAGATGGGGGGTAAAAAGAGCATCCAATCCTGCTTAACAGAGCAAACTTGCATACAGGTAGACATTTTTTACTAATTAATAACTTGTGATTTCATTAATCTCAGGGCTAATTTATTTCCCTGTAATCACTGAAGTATTACGTTAAAAGAAAAGAATTGGGAGCGGAAGGAGAAAGAATGTACCAGGACAATGCTCTTACAGAGATGATGAATGGAGGCGGCATCGAGGACGTCACGGCGGGCCTCGAGAGTCCAGGCGTAGTAATCGGAAGGGACACGCTTAAACGAGAAGTCCTTGACACCGTTGGAGCGGAGAATCGCAGAAAGGCGGCCTTCGGTGGTGGAGTTATCGGCGGCCGCGGCAGAGATGGATACAGATTGGGAGAAGTGTTGAGGTAAACACAAGAGTTCAAGGTCCGAAATGCGTTGGAGGATTCGAGTTTGGATTCTCTCTAGATCCGCCAGCGCCTCCTCCATTGTTGTCTACAGCTCCGAATTTATCTTCGTCTCGGATTTTTTGATAATTCTTGATGGATAAGTCCAGGGGTACATCACATTATACATCAAGCCATCCATAATGCTGAGCTGGCGATAAATTGGGTCAAAATCTCGTTCAACTTAAAAAAAAAAAAGACAAAAAATCAAGAAAACCTCGGTGAACTCGCATTTCCCCCCCATTTCGACATTTCCCCTCTCCCCTGTTCCAGCTGAAGACACGAGGAAAGGCGAGGGAAGCCAGCTCAAAATCCCAACCCAAAACGCCGATTTCTATCCTTGCTCTCCGGTCTTCGGCTCCGGTGGTGGGTCGGGAAGAAAAAATTGGACACAGGAGGTCATTTGTCCAAGGAAATACGACCAAGTAGCTCTGAAATTCTTAGAGGCTTCCCGGTATGGACGTGGATGAAGTTGACGGCAAGGACGGTAACATCGTATTCCCCTTTTATGCGAATTTTTTGATTTTTTTTCAGCACGTCGAAATCAGCATTATGAAAAATTGTTTTATACGGTTTTCTTCACCTGCTACATCCCTACAGAGAAGCAGACCCAGAGTAACCGAGATAATGAACAAACGTGCGAAAACATGGTCGAAGGCGATGCTAACAGTGGTAAAATTCATGCCTTTTTCGACTGTAATACTTTTCATAGAATGAAATGTCAGCCCATGAAATGTGCGAGAATGATCTGCATGATTCGATGAGCTTAATAGTCATTCAAAAAATAGATTTGAACTGTTTACTTGTTTGTTTACAGGAATGGATGTGTACGCTTTGGAGGTTGTGGGTGATGGTTGTTTGTCTGATGATTTTTTAGGAGTTGAAAATGAGAATATGGTTCCGAAGGTTGGTATGAAATTTGATACCGATAAGGAGTTATTTGAATTCTATAAGAAATACGCTTATGAAATTGGGTTTCCTGTTAGAAAAAGAAATATAAAGAAAGGTGATGATGGGGTTGTTCGATATGTGAGTTTTACTTGTAGTCGAGAAGGTCAACGAAAGAGTAGGAAGAGTACTTCTTTGAAGCCTCCACCAACGATTGAAACAGGGTGCAAAGCTAGGTTAACAGCGTGTTCTGATGTTCGTGGAATATGGCGAATAAATGTTGTGGAGTTGGAGCATAACCATAAGACAAGCCCATCTAAATCTAGGTTGTATCGATGCAATCGTGAACTTAGTGCACATGTTAAAAGACGGCTTGAGGTCAATGATATAGCGGGAATCCCATTGCATAAAAGCTATAACTCAACTGTAGTGGAGGCGGGTGGATTTGAGAACATGACTTGTGTTGAGAAAGACTGAAGAAATTTCGTTGATAAAGTGCGGCGTTTAAGACTAGGTGAAGGAGATGCTGCTGTATNTCTCGAAAATGCAAACATGCAGTCCGGGTTTTTATTTTAGTTTTGATTTGGATGAGGATTCTCGATTGAGGAACGTGTTTTGGTCGGACAACAGAGGTAGACAAGCATACAAAGAATTCGGTGATGTAGTGACTTTTGACACTACTTACCTAACAAACAAGTACGATATGCCTTTCGCTCCGTTCGTTGGGGTGAATCACCATGGGCAATCAACTTTATTTGGTTGTGGATTGCTGTCTAACGAAGACACGAATACATTTATTAGGTTATTCAAGACATAGCTTGAGTGCATGCATGGTCAAGCTCCCGGTGGAATAATCACAGATCAAGATCGTGCTATGCAAAATGCTATTGAAATCATTTTCCCCAACAGTAAGCATAGGTGGTGCTTGTGGCATATTCTGAAGAAGTTGCCAGAAAAGTTCGGTGGTCATCGCGAAAAAGGTGCAATACTGTATGCCATCCATGGTTTAGTGTATGATACATTAGTTAGTGAAGAATTTGAAGAGGGTTGGGCGAACATGCTTGAACGTTTTCATTTGCAAGATAATGCTTGGTTGAGCGGACTTTATGACAACCGAAGTCGTTGGTTACCATGCTACTTGAGAACTACATTCTGGGCGGGTATGTCGACTACCCAGCGGAGTGAGAGCATGAATGCATTCTTCGATGGCTATGTACACTCGAAGACAACTTTAAAGCTATTCGTAGAGCAGTATGAGCGGGCTTTGAGAAGTAAAGTTGAGAAGGAATTCCAAGCTGATTTTAGATCTTTCTCACAAATGGTCCCCTGTGCAACCAAGTACGAGATGGAGAAGCAGTTTCAAGAAGTGTACACCCTTTCTAAATTCAGGGAGTTCCAAGTAGAATTCACCGGAAAGGTTTATTGTGACGTACTATCTGTGGAGGAATTTGGAGGGATAACGAAGTACGAGGTCCGTGAAGATATCATCCTCAACGAAGGAAGGAAGACAAAGATGTTTTTAGTTTCTTTTCGTAGAGACAGTTGTGACATTGTGTGTAACTGCCATTTGTTCGAGTTTCGAGGTATCATTTGCAAACACGCGGTCTCGATTTTGCTTCGGAATGAGGTATCATTACTTCCCGAGAAGTACATTTTAAGGCGATGGAGGAGAGACGTGAGTAGACCATACACACGGGTTGCAACAACTTATTATGGTTTGGTTAGTACGCCTGAGCAATTGAGATATGAGAAGTTGTGTGCTTCGTTAACCAAGATGGCAGATTTGGTTGCAGCTGATGAAGAACTTTCAACACAGCTCATGGGGTGGATTGAGTTGCAAACTAATGAGCTATCCAATGCAAAAAGTAATCGCTTTGCCTCCCATGGAATTGGACGAGGCAATGTAGAAGGCGTCAACATTTTCGATCCGAAGTGTACAAAGCGTAAAGGCGCTCCAAAGAAACTACGAATAAAAAGTTCGCTAGAGACGACAAAGAAAAAATCAACGGGTCGTAGTAAGGTTTGTTCTTCAATTCATAATTAATTCATGACAAATTACATTTTTTTAACATGTTATAATTTTAACATTGGTATATTGCACCACTTCTAGGTGACTGTGAACGCAACATCTTCATCGAAGGACAATGTCTCAAACAAAGTGCCTGCAGAGGAGGCTTAAGTGATGAACACATCATATCCTCCACCACCTCAATTGATTGAGACACAAGATAGCATGGAAGGTGTAACAAGTTTGCAATAACCTGTGCACCTGGGGAACACTTCTTTTGGTTTTGTAAATTCACTAGGAATGATAGATGTGGATTATGTAATTAAACAATGATGCCCTCATCTTTTTGTTTTTGTAATTGAACTGGTGAAGTAGTGGTGTCATAATTTGCACCATGTCATTGATTTTGTTTTTGTATGGAGATGGAATGCACCAGTTGGCTATCACAAGTTGCATTTTATGTTGCATTTTAACCGGTTGAAGCTCTCTATCATAGGTTGAATTTCATGTTGAGGTTTAGCAGGTTGCATTTTAACCAGTGTAATTTGCTGTTGCATTTTAACAAATTTGTAATGAAGATGGAATGCCAGTGACTTACCATTGCACCAGTTGGATTTTAACAAGTTACATTTGTAATGGAGATGGAATGCCAGTGAATTAACATTGCACCAGGAGATGGAACACCAATTCACAGTAGCAAAACCAACACCAATTCACAGTAGCAAAACCAACACCAATTCACAAACTAAATGTCTCACAAACTTAATCATACCCCTGTTCACATTAGCAAAACCAACACTACTTAATCATCTAGTAAATGTCTCACAAACTTAATCATACCCCTGTTCTTTCCTCCCATTTTAAGATCCAATTGCAGTGGTGAGAACACAGCAGGGAAACCAATTCACAGTACCAAAACCATTTCACAGTACCAAAACCAATTCATTTAACACCCAATTCTGAAGATTGCTCCAAGTTCGCCATTTCCTTAAAACCCCATCACACTCTCATTACAACAGCAAATCAAAACCAATTCATTGTAGCAAAACCATTACAACAGCAAAATAAAACCATTACACGACTCGCTTGGCGCAAAAATACACAAAAATGAAAAAAACTCCAGCAAGAAACCCTGAGAAATGCTTCGTACTCCGTCGAAGCCTTCACGAGGTCTGGGTTCCCCAATTTCTTTTCGGCATCGGCTGCAGGTCGTAGAGAGAAAGGGCAGCGTCGATTGTTGCGTTTTTTGGGTTCGCCAATCGTTGTGCAAACGGTTCCCCACCGCCTTCTCTTTCACCGGAGTCGAAGACCGGAGAGCAAGGACAGAAATCGGCGTTTTGGGTTGGGATTTTGAGCTGGCTTCCCTCGCCTTTCCTCGTGTCTTCAGCTGGAACAGGGGAGAGGGGAAATGTCGAAATGGGGGGGAAATGCGAGTTCAGCGAGGTTTTCTTGATTTTTTGTCTTTTTTTTTTTT